GCGGTGGCCGGGAGCGGCCACTGCACTCCAGTCTGGGCGACAGAGTGAGACTCCAACTCAAAAAATAAATTAATTAATTAAATAAAATCTGAACTGTAACAGTGGCTTCCTAACTGCTTTCCAATACATCCCCCATTCATTACAGATATAGGCTATATCTATCCCCTTCATTAAAAACAAACCAACTAAACCAAAAGAAAACAAGAGAAGTAAATCTGGGAGTTTCCTGTCACCCACCTCACAACACTGAAAGTCCTTGGCCTCACAGAGGTCATTCCAAATGGACCCCAATCGACCTTTTCAGCTTCATTTCCCATCATTCTTTTCATTTCTTCAACAGATGTTTAGCACGAACTTGTTATGTGCCAGGTCCCGTGATTGGTAGCAGGCGCACAAATGACCTAGCCACCACATGCCAGTTCCTGCCCCAAAGAGATTTCTATCTCACAGGGGAAGGAGCAGGAAACAAAGCTGGAAGTTCTAGATCATTGTGGGGGCCTCCACAGAGGTAAGCTCAGTGCCTGGGGGGACAAGTGGGCCAGGCCCCAAACCCAACCTAAGAGCTCAGAGGCGGCTTCCGGAGAGAAGTGAAACTTGTGGAGTTGTGAGGGGTGAGCGCATGAGAAATGAAGAAGGAAATCTGACATTTCCACAGGAAGGAACCGCAGGTGTGAAGACTGGGAGCAGTGACAGCTGCTGGCTTGACACTTCACTGCACGTGGCCTGAGGGTTCCTTAGGTGCTGGGTGCTGTTCTAGGTGCTGGGATACAGTAGTGAGTGAACACACCAGACGAGGCCTGAGCCCTCATGCAGCTGACAGTTCATGGAGGGAAAACATAGGAATGGAGGTCAGGGTGAGGAAGGACGAATGTTCCAGGATTGAGGGGTGAGGGGATGACCACTCATGGAGAGGAGCTCATGGAGAGGAGCTGTGGGAACCCCAAAGTGTGGAAGTAAATGTGGGTGCGCTCATGTTCACACAAGCATTTTCAGAAAGTGGATTAAGAAAGCTTTTGTATTCTTAAAAGGATACATGATCCTCTTGGGCTAGGACCCTTACTCCAGGGCCCCTGTGCTGAGCTGAGGAGTTTGACCTTGATCTGGAAGTTCTGGGAGCCAGTGCTGCATCTTAAAAAGTGAAACCATTGGAGCCAGTCACGTGCTCTGGCCAGACCAGCAAGAACTCCCAGTGTCTTTCCCACTGCCGAGCCTCTGTTCTCGCTGTTCCCAGGCCTGGAGGGCTGGAAAGCGCAGAACCAAAGAGCCAGGCCGGCCAGAGTTTGCATCTGCCTGCAACTGCAAGCCTGCGGTGTTCTCCCTCTGTGAAAAGTTGCGAGGTTTAAATGAGACTGTGACATCTTGAGGATTTAATCATATTTTTTTGGAAAGCGTCCAGCATATAGTAGCCACTCAGCAAACATTAGTTCCCGTCTTGGCTTAGAGACTCAGCTGTTGAAGGCTCGCTCCCATCTTATCTGAGTGCTTCTTGGAGCCTCTGTTTCTTATTTTTGAGTTGGGGGTCTCGTCTTGCTTTGTTGGCAGCCTCGACCTCCTGGGCTCTCAGGTCATCCTCCCACCTCAGCCTCCCAAGTAGCTGGGACTACAGGTGTGTGCCACCACACCCGGCTAGTTTTTTTCTTTTCTGTAGAAATGGGGGGTCTCGCTATGTTGCCCAGGCTGGTCTCAAACTCTTGGATCCAAGTGATCCTCTCACCTTCGCCTCCCAAAGTGCTGGGATTACAGGCATAAACCAACGCACCAGGCCAGCCTTTTTTATTTTTAAGAGGCAAGGTCTTGCTCTGTTGCCCAGACTGGAGTGCAGTGATGCGAACACAGTTCGCTGTTAACTTCAAACTCCTGGGCTCAAGAGACCCCCCCCTTCCCTTGCCGCTTCAGCCTCTCAAAGCCCTGGGATTACACCGAGACTGGAGCTTTGCAGTTGTTCTTGTTCTTAAAGAGCTTTGTGACTATCACCAGTGTCACTCTCAACACACGGCATTAAACTCTCATGTAACAAGATTACATGTCATTAATCCACACCACAGTAGTCCAAGTAGGGACACCTCCCCTCTGATTTTACAGAGGAGAAAACGGAGACTCAGGGAGGCCGGGAGATTTGCCTGGAATCAGTTAGTGTCTGGAAGCATGTGATCACTAGGTCTTCTGAAATAATAAAGATAACAGCAACAACAATGGACACTGATTATGCTTACTATGCCAAATGCCGAACTCAGCATCTTACCTTCTCCATAATCCTCAATTCCTCTGGGCAGGTGGGTAGGTTCTATTCTTTTATTTATGTATTTATGTATTATTTGTCGGGGTCTCGCTGTCACCCTGGCTGCAGTGCAGTGGCACGATCACTGCTCGCTGCAGCCTGGACCTCTGGGGCTCAGGCAGTCCTCCCGTCTCAGCCTCCCATGTAGATTCCATTCTGAACCGAATTTACAGAGGAAGGCACAGAGCGGTTAAGTAACTTGTCCCCACGGTAACCCAGGCTAGTCAGCTGCACAGACTCAGGCCTCGATCTGGATCACTCCAACGAAACCGTGTCATTCTGCCTCTCGGAAAACACCATTCCCACCCAAGTTCAAAACCCCACCCAAGCCCGCCCCGAATCGCGGTGGTTCTGCTCCAGCTGAGTCCTTCTTTGTTTTGACCAAGGACACAGAGGGCGCTGCCTGACGCTACCCGGGGGGCCCGCGGGAGAAGGTGGGGGTCCGGGGTGGAAATCTAGGTGCGGGGCGTGTGCCCGAGGGAGGGCGTCTGGCGACCGGCGGGCGAGTCACGTGTTCCTGAAACTCGACCTAAGAGGAGGGGAAGGGAGGGAGCCCCCGCCCCCACCTCGGGGCGCAGCTCCGGACGCGTGTACACACAACTATCGACTCGGCGGATCCGCTTCGCCCGAGCCCCGCTTCGCGGACCCGTGGCGCCCGGCGGCTTCCCGGGCCCCCGACTCCCCC